AAATTTGTTCTGATCGGTCCGCAAACTGCATTCTATTCGCTATTTAGGTCAAACACACATTTTGACGTCCAAGCGAGGTGTTTTTGACCCGAAATTTTTCGCGCTCGCTTCGCTCGCGGTCTTTTTCTACATTAGGACTACGGGCTTTTGGCAAGTACGCTTAAATGCTTGCATGCAGGGGGGGATTGGTTGCCCCTGCACTTCGCCAGGAATAGTGCTCAAATCTCAGGGAAATTTAGGGAGAATGTGTCTGGAAATCAGGGAAAACTCAGGGAAAATGGAAATGAAAATTTTGTGGCAACCATGATATTGACATGTGCGCGCTGCCAATATGTAAAGGCTTTCAATGTGTAAAGGCTGATATGCAAAGGACGGCGTAGCCAATTTTATTTAGCAAAATTAGTTCACTAATTCCAATAAATTTGTTGATATTAAACCTTTCCTAGTGTACAAGATTCATTGACAGTAATGCAGCCATCACCCAAAGTTGAGTCATTGATCTAAACATACACAAAATTATCGAAATTGTCCAAATTTGGTATCATTTTTTAAGTCTCGGCGCGACCGGGCGAGCTGTGGCGCTTAATTTGTACGATATGCCCTCCCTAAAGTGTTTGAATGTGCCCTCAAATAGAGCGGGTGAGTGACCCGAATCGCACCGAGCCCCATCCTAGCAGACAATAGGCCGCCCCCGCCGCCCAGGCAAGGTCGGGCCGGGCCGGGCCGGGCCACATGGTGCGCTCTCGGGCTGCAGCTCGGCTCGGGTAGGCCTGCACTTTTGGAGCGGACTGAAATCTTTCTGCCAAGATAAGTTGTCCAGAGCTCTAGTATGCCCAGATTTTCAGTCCGTCCCCGTCCGCCCTCGGAGCACGCCGCAGTTTGAACCTCCCGCCCCGGCCGGCTCGCCGCCCGTGGAGCGGTGGGTAGGCAGTCCCGCTGCACACCCGAGCGCAACGGGCCTGCCTGCGCCGCGGGCCGCGGGTGCCCACCCTACGCAACCCACAACCCCCGACGCGGAGTTCCTCGGGTTCCTCGGAAATAATGATTTGTGCCCGAGGTATGCTGCTAAGAAGTAATTTATTCAAGATATATTTGGACTGGCATACATTTCTCTGAATCGTCTTTTCTCTTTTAGCGACAGTAACACAGATTGTTTGCTCCGCGGAGCTGCCCCGTCGTCGTGCAGTGTATCATCTTGATCCCGAACACGCTCCACGCCCCGGCGGCGCCCCAGCTCCTCGCCGTCCTCCCTGCCGCCCGGTCGCGGGGGCCGCGCCCGCCGCCCCTAGAAGTCTTCCCGCACCTCGTCGTCACACACGACGCACAGTACCTCGGCCCTGGGCAGCACCCGCCGCACCTGGGCGCGCTGCTCGCCGCACTGGCCTGCCTCATGGAAGCAAATCGGCCTAATCAGCACGAGCCTCCGCAGCGCCCGCAGGCCGAACGGCGCCAGCAGCGAGTGCAGAGCAACGTCCTCGCACAAGTCGACCATCGAGCAGTCCGCCCGCAGCTGCAGCACCTCCAGCGAGGGGCCGTGCGCCTGCAGCAGGGCCGGCAGATGGTCGAACCCGAGGATGTGCACACTGAGCCACTTCAGGCCGGCGTGTCCCGGCGGGAGCGCGCCCAGCTCGGGGAGCGCGCCCAGCTCGGGGAGCGCGCCCAGCTCGGGGAGCGAGCCGATCAGCCGATCATTCCACACTTGCAGCCTCCTGAGCCGCGGCATGGCGAGCACCGCACGCAGGTGGGCCGCTTGGGGGCCGTCCACACTCAGCTGCTCCACGGAGGGCGCGGCGCGCTGCAGCAGCTCGAGGCTCCAGTCGGGGTCACGGTAGCAGCACACACCGACCAGCCGCGTCACCTGCGGGAGGGAGGCCAGACACTCAGGCGGACTGACTACACATGAGCTCACCCGCGGCCTTGCGCGGGTCGAGAGGCTCGAGGTCCGGCGCACACTCACCCCTGGCGCGGCCCGCAGGAAGGCAGCCTTCTCCTGGCGCATGTCATTGGGTTGACAGCGGCTGAAATTAATGGACACGGACACATCCATCTCACGCGGGGGCCACACCTCGGAAGGTGGTGCGGCTGCAGGTGGTGCAGCAGCAGGGGGTGCGGCTGCAGGGGGTGCGGCTGCAGGGGGTGCAGCAGCAGGGGGTGCGGCTGCAGGGGGTGCGGCTGCAGGTGGTGCATCCCGTGCAGCGACTCGATCCTGCACAGCCATATCGGGGTAGTAAGTAGTACAGTACAGCGAGGCACACGGGTCCCTGAACAATGTACTCGCCGACGGCCTTGCCCAACGCCGCCAACCATAGCGCCAGACATCCTTGCGTGGGCAAAGTTGAATCATAAGAGCAGATCAAAGTGTACGCCGAGGTTCAACGGAGTTCTTGAATAAACGATCATTTAAGTCCAAAAATCATTTACACCGAACTTCAAGCCGTTTTTACTTTGATATGATTTCAAAAACTCGAAAACACGATCGAATGAGTAGTAAATCTGAGTGGTAGTAGTAGGTGTTGAAAAACATGGCAGGATACACCGCACCGCATCGCCTACCTCGGTGAGCGCGGCCCTCGCCGCCAGCAGGAGCCACAGCGCCTTGGTGAGGGGCTCCTCGGTGTTGCGCACGGTGCCCGTCAGCTCGCGGCCCCCACCCCGCAGCGACACGGCCCAGGACTCGCCCGTCAGCAGGGTGAGGGCGGGCAGGGCCTGCTCGTCCGGGCACTTGTCCTGGAGGCCCTGGAGCTGCTCGGCGGCCTGCGGGAGCGCGTCCTGCAGCTGGCGCCTCATGGCACTCCTGACGGACACGACGTCGTGGTCCTCCCAGCAGCGGGGCGTGGCGGCGGCGCGGCAGCCCGAGCACCAGCCGAGGGGACACCTGTGGGGCACAAGTCAAGCTATGAGGCCACCGAACACTTCGCATCCGCGACTGGCGGCGCGACCAAGCTCACCTGTCCAGTCTGCGTCCTTCAAGCAACTTTAGCGCCAGAAAGTTGGTCGGGAGTCCCTCCGGCGGGCCGGTGAAGTCCTGAGGGAAAGGCAGGAGGGAATGAGAGGAGGACAGGGAGGCGGACACCCGGTATACATACAACTCTGGACACTCACCCGGCGGCACGTCGGGCACCTGGCGTCGGGCAGCCGCCGCAGGCACTGTATGCAGGCCGAGTGCCCGCACGGCAGTACCTTGGGCACCCGCTCGGCGCCGTCGAGGTGCTCGGTGCAGAGGTCGCACTCCATGGCTATTGCTGGTGACGGGAAAAATCTGGGGAAAAAAGAGAAGAATTTCTGATGATATCCTCCCAATCCAGCAATGGTCGTTCTGGGTTTGTGAGCTCCACGCAAGATGTTGACGTTGGCAAGAAAATGCACTGCGCACAACCCACCGTCCAAAGTAACGGGTGAAATCTGACAAGGTGACTGTAAAATGACTAGAAGTGATTGGAGTTGACTCAAATAGTGATACTGGTCGAAGTGATGTAGCCCTCGAGTCCTTTGTACTCACTCGTTTGTCGGGCGAGGGCTCGGCAGATCGTCCTCTAACCTCTCCGCTCTCGTGCGGTGCGCGGCTCGCTCAACTCTGGCCTGGGTGATGCGTCTGCTCCAAACCACGCTAAACTATCAACACTATATAAACTATATAAACACTATAAACTTCCTCCGGGCGGGTCTAGCCCCTCGGCGAGTCACTCGGGTTGAGCTGAGGATGTGTCTGACCAGGCTGGGACTGACTTATCAGAAAGGTCAGCAGCAGCGTGTTGTTGTTTACCTGTGTCGGCTATCGCCGCGAACTGACATCGCATCGGCCGGCGGTACCCCCACCATGCACCACACTGGCGCTACTCCGCGCCATCGAATGGTGCGGTGGCGGCACCTGGCGGCAGCTGCAGCAGACCAGAGACCACCTGCCATTCCCGAGTACACTGTGGAATTCCCTCACACAGACTCACACTTGGGACTGATACTCTGCACACGTTTGAGCTGTGCGGGCAAGCCTCGTCACCGATGTTGTTACCTCCTGTATGTTGTATCTTGGGGTGATAGTTATTGGTCGTACTGGTTAAAGCCCTTAGGCCGGTGGAGCGACTAGCTTGATGTGTCTGACGGCGAGGATCGAGGAAGACAGACCACTAGGTACAGTTCCATGAAGACTGGTTTATTTGATCTAGTGCAAGACACTTTATAACTTCTGACAGGCAGTGGTGCCAACGCCAACATGACAATATACAACATCTCCCTTTTTAAAAGAGATAAGTTTTTAAACATTTTAAATTTTTTAACAGTCAATAAATTATTTAATTTAACAATACTAGATAACATCGATATACATCATTTACGACAATAACAAGTTTAATAAATAATTAACAATTCAACAATTCACACACATCCTCCCTCTCACAAAAATTACACAACCAAAACTACAATGATCAGTAGAAAATTTTACAGGTTGAGTCTTTCAGGTGGTTTGACAACTCGAGTCCTCGTCCTGTTAGCATTTTGATTCGCAGGCTGAGCAAATCTGTCAGCAAGTTGTTGTCGCCACCTCCTTAAATTTTCATTTACTTCCTGAAGAGGAACATTATTATGTGGAATTTCATTATTGACATTATCATGAGGCTGTTCAGGAATGACTGGAATTTCAAGATTAGGAATTTCAACATTTGCAGGTTCAACATTGTTGTAGCCAGGTAGAAGATACACAGGGGTTCTGACTGGTGCTTTAACATTTCTAGGTTTGAGAAAAGTAGAATTCCGTCGTACAATGTTGCTTGAGAAATTTGTTTTTACCAT